ACTCGGTCTGACTGCGGTCTGCCAGACCACCTTCAGACGGTCTGTCAGACGGTCTGTCTGTTAGCCACACTGGTTTTCGGCGATATACGCCACTGACAGCAGGGCTCCCGCTGGTCCCCGTACAAAGATCAGGAGACAACGGTTGTTGGCGCGACGCGCCCGCGGTTGCACCCGCGAGTGCATCACGCCAGCATCATCGTGATCCCGCTGACGGGTATCGATTCAGACAGATAAATGCCATTTGGCGCGACACTGCTACAGCTGGAGGATGATGGCAGGAAGAGTATTCCGGGGGCAACTAGTGGAACATGGGCGCGAAACGCGCTCTGTTGGCGGCCCACTTAGCGGGTACGACTGCACATTTATCCATAGAAGGCTCGATAGCACGTCTTAAAGCCTACACTAGGGCGCAAACGGACGTAAATCATCAAATCAAATCAAATGTATATGATACATGTGTGTATCTACTCCACTTAATTTAAGAAATTATGGACATCTACTAAGTTAAGGTCTGATATATAGCATATACACGCGACTTGGTCCAAATGTGGGTGGGTGTGATGGTTTCGAGCCTTGTCAATTTGTACATAAATCACTTGATCAAAGTACTATGCTAATAAGGAAGCACTTTGTTACTTCACTATCGGCCGAGCTTAAACTCTATTTAAGCGAACTCCATACAACTTATACCAATCGGACTGGGTCCAGCGCCGCCTCGGGTGTAACCTGTGGCACCTGATTGTTGATCGATGCCGTGGCTCGGACAAATAACTAATTGGGCTCATCAGAACTGGCTGGTCCATCCCAGCCCTGGTTCGGTGCGGGTCCATCCCATCCCGGGTTCGGTGCTGGTCCATCCCATCCCGGGTTCGGTGCGGGTCCATCCCAGCCCGGGTTCGGTGCGGGTCCATCCCAGCCCGGGTGCGGTGTCGGTTCATCCTTCGGAGAGTGGGAGCCACAGACAACTGTGCTGGATGTGCCCGCTTTGGTAGCTGTGGTAGATATAGGCCTTTTGCTTGTGGTAGTATTCTTGCCGATAGTGATTTCCAATGTCCCTTGAGCGACTTCAGTGACATGCCAGGGCATTGTGTCATCGCACGCCTGGTCCTTGAACGGATCAGTCAAGCTCATATTTACCCCGGTCGTTGAAGTAAATGGACTGCCGAAAATTGCTGCTGTGTCAGGGTATTTCGAACAGTCGTCTATCGTAGTCAGATAGTACTCCATAAACCCTACCCAATTCCCCCCCTTCATGCCGCTAACACCAGTTGGTAGATCAAAGGACCCCATAGGCCAACGTTGACCAGAACTATGGTTGATAAGCGTACCAACGTAGGATGTTTGATTGGCGACTTTAATATGTAAATGAAATGTGTCATCGTAACTTGATTGCACATCAATTGCGCAGGAAACACCGGGTCCGCCGTCAGCAGTGTCGTAGCAGTTGCTGTCAGAAGTAGTAGTGCCGGGAAAGAAGCTGGAGAAAGCGGCATGAACGATACTTTTCCCGTTCCTATCTGGTCTAGGCTGTAAACCAGTATAGATAACTAAATTTGGATCCATTCCTTTCGGGGTATTTTCGAATGCAATAGCTTGCTCGAAATAATAGCCCTCTTCGTGTGGCGCATTCGGCATGGCCATAGGAAACGTGATATCTTCAAGGCCGCTGTCTGGGACGTTTTTAGCTGCCCAGCCGAGATGAATGTTTTGCACGGCCATAGTGGCCTTCAGCAAAGAAAATAGAGTGATCAATCTCATAGCTGGTGTAGAACTGAGCTTAGAGGCTGGGTAAGAAGCTTTGTATTGTGAGGTTGACTAAACATCACAATAGGTAACGAGACAAGAGCAAGTTGCTACCTTTTTATAGCAAGAAGCGCGGTAGTAGCCAGCTCAAGTCACTTATGTATGTATTGTTCTATCTTTAACGCCTAGCTAATTCATGCGTGTAGTTGCTCTCATTCAGCTGATTTATGTGCATGAGTTTAGTCCCTTAATGTAAACAAAGCATACATTTGTAGCCATTCAGGAGCAATATATTCGATAGAACCACTTCAGAAGAATTAAATTAAATTGAGTTCGGTATTAATACCCTAAGTATTAATAAGTGGCTGTAGCGACGATAATGATAGAAGATGGTGGGTTGCTTACCCGTGCTGGGCCAATGTTGGCGAGAAATTGGAGAACTTTTCCTAGCTTCGCCTTATACGTCGTCCCGGCTGTGCACCGCTACCGCCGCATCAGGTCATTATTCACGGAAACACGTTGACATTGCGCATAATCTTCGCGGATCCTTCAGCATGATTAGCATTGGTGCAGGGACCGAGTAAGATTGCTCGCCCTGCACATCACGTTTTCTGAGCCCGCTGCGGGCCCGAGTAATGAAAGCTGGGCAATGCGCGAGAGACTTGGCAGCTTCGACTTAGTCCGGCGAGCTTTTTCTGGATTTTTCTTTGTTGGGCTCCAGTATGAGGCCTTCTCGCTGGGTGGATGGCTCAAACACACGGAAAAACATGAGTGGGCTGCAGCTATCGTCTTAGTTCATCACACATCTGGATATACGGTGTCCAGTACAAAGACGTGTATTACTGCCATGCCCAGTGGTCCACTCGTTTTTAAATTAAACTTTTTGCCGGAACTCCGATCGAATTTGGCGCAGCAGTTCCGCTCGACGTCTTCACACGGAGACAGTCTTTGATGAGGTAAAGAAAATAGGTCGGAT